TTGAAACCCTTCAAAAATTCTGTTGTCTTTCTGCGCCAAGCTCTGCAGCATCAGTCTGAACTTGCTGTTGACATTTGCGAGTGATCGGTACATGAAGTCGATCTGTTGTTCCCTCATGGCGAGTTGATTTTGCAGGTGTGACAGGTGGATTTGTGTCAGATGATAATTCTCGAGAATTGTCATAGTCTCCCGACGGAAAGTCTCGAGATTCTCGATTTTCTCATTAAGAGCAGCCACTTCAGCTGGAAGATGACTTAGCTGATCAATAGCTGTTGTAACCTTTTTTGACTCATTGGCACTCTCTATGAATGCTCTAACAAGGAGTTCACTGCAGCAGTCAGTATAGTAAATTACTAATTGAGATGAATACTAACTTAGTAGAGCTGCCTTTTTTAATCTGGTTCATGAATAGACCAGTCTTTATGCTCGAGCTCTCGTTTTCATTTTTGTTCTCAACCATGGCTTGATCACATAACGCACTCCTGGACTGGGTCAGGCAGATTCAATGTCATAGGAAGTAAAGCTCACCTTGGCTGCCGATCTGGGTGATGCTTAGACCTCGATCGGAGACGAGCCGAAAGTCCTTCTTGATAAGCTTCAGAAACCATGGAAGTTTTTACTGAGTTAGGCGAAGTTGTCGAGTTTGCAGAGGACTGTATCTCCGGAGGTAATAAGTCAAGCGGTAGTGTATCGTCGTCACCAAATAGTTCGGACATATCAAATTCATGATATTCAAACATGTTGCAAACACAAATCCTGCCTGTTGTTTACAGTATAACCTACGTGCTTGAGGCCTCTTATATAACAGGTCGCTATCGAGGAAGCGCTTTTTTGATTCGTTACCGGCAGTGTGGTTCAAAGGATTATAGATACATCTTGGTTTACCGCCAACGGTAATTAATCTAAACAAAGACTTGGCCTTCCGGCATCCTGCTCTGTGCTAATTCGCTATAATGGTCCACTTGGTAAGTTACCGGGTGAGGTACGCTCATTATCAAGTGAGTGTTTCAAAACGCTGGGAGATACATGAAAATAGGCAGCTTAAATTTGTACATAAAGAACAGCTCAATTGTCTCAAGTTCTTTGGACATAGCCACCAAACGTTCGAATTCAGAGAGATTCTACAATGCGCCCGAATGTTAGTACAGAATGGCTTGATGTTGGCGCGAGCCAGGAGGGTGTTTTCGTTCGAGACTACGGCCGTCTGGAACAGGTCACCCTTGATCTAGCTCAACGCAATCAGCAGACACCTCTTCTCACGCTATTCCTTGGAGGTCATACTAAAGAGACCGCACTACAATACATATTTCCTAGTAATAATATAAGAAGAACACGGGCGAAATCCGCAATAGGATTGCGATATGATTTGCTGTCTGCGAACAATCCAGAACCAATCCTAATCGCCGACGGCGAACCAGGAAAAGCGCCAGTCAATTTAGATCAGGATGCTAA